GAGATGCAGACAGAGAAATGGGCTGGGGGCTGTATGCAACCAGAGGTGATGTTTTCTACTGCACTGGCTAGTAAGGGTCTCACAAAAACAAAAGCAGAGGCTGAAACACCGAAAACTTCTTCTTCATTCTCCTTTTCACCAGAAAATTTTTACATGCTGTCACATTCTGGAAGCTGTCCTGGCTCTATTAGCCATGCCTCTCTGGTGCAGCTGAAGTTACTCACCTTCTTTTTCTATAAGTTTCAAAGCTTTTATTTCCTCTGCAATATTTTGCCCAAAGATAGTGCATTAGATTTGCGGTATGCTGAGGTTCCCTCACATGTTTCAAAATGGTTGTTGCCTTTCTCTGCAGCAGCAGCCCATGTTTATAACTGAGCCGTTCAGTTTGTTTGCCCAACTCTCTTTACATTCCTGGGACTTACAACTCACTGCAATATTAGTTCTTGTTGCCAGGGCACTTTGTATAACACTTGACTCTATTTTAATATACACCTATTTTTGGAGCAGTGCAATGAACAGAGCTTTGCCTTAGTCGTTTATTTTGCTCAGACATTTATTTGGAAGATATTAGTTCTGTTAGGGTATCCACAGATGACAGATTTCTCCATTCATTGGTAGTAGACCAAATATGGCCAAGACCAGATGCTCGTGGCTTAAATGTGAGCACAGAAAGCCTTATGCTCTGTGTGTTAGACCAGTTCCAGATAATCTGTGCTGATAATATGCGTTCTCAGTTTCCTTCTTTTACACTACGTTCAGTTGCTTGTCTGTGAGAGGAAGTTGGCTGTAAACTGCTACTATTGAATAGAGTCCTTTAGTTTGTTGCCACACTTTGAGATTTAGTTTGGTTCCAGCTCTGAGTTAAGATGCCTAATTAGCTAATTTTCACCAATATAAAATTATGCTGCTCTGAAGGGATAACACAAAGCTGCTAATTCTCTACTGTGCATTTGTATAACTAGTATACTAATGTTTGCCTTTGGCTGAACTGTCTGATCTCTTCTGTACATGCTGTGTAGTCTCAAGTGAGGCTGCCCCTGGCTCTTTCGAGAAGAAAGTCATGAAATCTCTGGACTCTTTAGCATATATTACCTTAGCTGACAAGTAGAGTGTCTGGATGCAGCCAGCCTGAGCTGGAGGTTCAGGTTGGCTTTCCCAGCTGCGTGGTTTAAGTCTGAGACAGATATTCCCATGGGGGGGACAAAGTAACCAAACACTGTCACCAGTTAAACAAACTTTTCTCCTGTTTTCTCCAAGGAGTGTTTCGTGTTGCCAGTATTTGAACAAGATTTGGCTTTAAATTTCAACTGAAGTGAGGTACCTGCTTGCAGAAGGCAAAGCAGTCCATAACAATGGGAACTGTGTGTCTTAAATGCAGAGTGACAACACAACAGTTATATAGAGTGAATGATACCTTTGTGGAAAGACTGTAATTCATGTTTATTAAAAAAAAAAGTAAAATTACAGGTGATTGAGGCATATTGGGAAGCTAATCTGTATTTTCACACCATTATAAAATGCCCAAATTTCCTTCTTCAGATTTTATACAAATAGCACAACAAAACTCTTAATAGTCATCACTGTCAAGTTTAACTTAATTAGTCAGTAATTCCTTTTTCAATTTCTTTCCCCTACTTTTTCCTTGTGTAGTGTTTTCTCCATATTATCTCAGTAGATACACTAGTATGGTAAAATATTTTTATAAAAATTAAATATTTCTTCTTATCAAGAACAGTCATGTAATGTGCAGTTGTACCCAGCTTTTTCTGTTCTTCAGCCCATAGGCCATTGGGTCTGATAGACTTCATTCCATGCATTTCTGCAGCTGCATAGATTGACTGGTATTAGAAGGAAATGCGGAAAACAATACATAAGGAAACTCTGAGGCTATTTTTCCCCGAGGAGATCAAGGGAGGGATGGCGATGGAAAAAGGGTTGGTTCATCTATAAGGGACGTAATCTTCTATGTTTCGTTGTACAGAAATCTATCTTATATTATCTAAATGGAAAAATAATTTTCAGGTTTAAGTAATAGGTTCTGGTGTCCATATTATAGATGTGAAGGAGAACATAATATGTGGACAGTAGCTAAGAAAGGCATTATCCTCAAAAACTGACAGAGAGAAAAATATTTCTAGGTACATGAACACAGTCAGTGCTATCAAACAACTATTCAAAGAGAACAGACTTTTTCTCTGCTTAAACCCACTGTTACATGTTGTAAAACGGTGCAGTTAGTATTCACTATTTCTCCCTTTCAATAAGTCCATCTGATGATGGACTTCCATGTAGATGTGCTGAAAGTCATCCCTGAACCTGGGGAAAGGATACGCTGCTTTGCACAACTATTTTATTAAATGAAACATAGTTGCTAGCACAAAGCCTTCCAACAGTTTTGGAATGTATACTGTCACTACATATCTCTCTAGGGAGAAATGGGAAGATGTGCAATACCACAAAAAGAATAACCATGCAAACAAAAAATACAGTAAACCAACAAAACTTTCAGATAGATTTATGTTCTTCTGAACAGATTTTATTTGGGTATCTGAGACAATTATCCTAAAAGTAGACCAAACAGTGGCATATTCTACTATTATACTCAATCCTCCAATGACACAAAGGTTTTGGCAGCAAATAACTCATATTTTTTCCAACTTTTGTGGTAATACACCCAAAGCATGTCATTTGTCAGCATAATGACAGTTCCTGTATTCCCTGAATGCCTAGAGGAAAAGGTTTAAATGTAACATTGTTTCTGGCTAAGGGGCAGTCATCTAAAAAGACTGAAACTTAAGCCTCTCGTTAGTTTCACAATATCTGGGAGATCTGGTACAGTACGTTCCTGAAAAAGCCCTGCTTAAATCTGTCGCCACTTTCTCCCAAGCTATGATCAAGATGAGAGTATGCACGAGTCATTTTATTTAGGTTTCTTCAGCAAGATATTAAAGACTGAGGCAGCCTGACAACTGATTATTTCAAGAAAACACAGTTAAAATAAATTGTGTGAAATCAGCTGGGCTCTGCAAACTCTCAGGACTTCAGTCCTTGTTTAGCACCACAGCAATGGAGACTAGATGGACAGAGGAGGATACTGTGATATCTAAAAAGGAACAGACTGCTACAGTTCACTTTCCTCTTTTTCTAATGTATTTCAAGGGTTATTGGTATAGAAAGTCCAGAAACCGCAGACAGAGGTATGGTTAAGAAGTTAAAAGGCAAAGTGCAAAGAGCTACCTAGCCTTTTAACCCTCCTTGGTGGAGCAATTTGAAAGCCAAAGTAGGTCACAAGTCAATTCATTTTGTAGACTTGACCTTGTACTCAGTGCATATTTAATCCCATCACAAAACCACTGGGTAATGTTATAAATAACAATTTTGAAACAGCCCTTTTGGGACAATATCTTTATCTTGGCAACTGGTTTCTGCTGAAAAGAGACCAAAAGGGTTTAGGATACAAAATTCTTCTAAAATACTATTCTTCTCCTACATCCTGTGCACTTGTCCACAGCTGGATATTCCAATTGCATTCATTTCTTAGATATCTGAAAACATATACAGAAAATGTGAGTAGAAATACAACCAGGACATGAAAAGTACCCTTTCAGCTCTACAGCTCCTTTTCATTTGTGTAGTCATTGTAACATTTGCTCTGTTTCTCCTAAGTTTTTTCTTTTTTTTCCTTCCTCTGTTATTGTCACTGCACTATCTGCCACTGCTACTGTCACTGCACCGTCCTGCTACTGAGGCTTAGCAGCAACCAGTGATTAGCCCTTCTATGCGAATAGCATTTGAAAGTAATCCATTGTGAAGACCACACCAAATGGAAGAAGGACCTGGAGTGAAGAATAGGACCTGTCCATCCAACTTTTTGTTTATGATGAAATATGATCAAATATAGAATGTTGAGATCTGGGGTTATTCTAAGGATGATCATATTTCTTTTCCTTAACTTGTGTTGTTCTCACTCAGGAAAAAAAACCAAAACAAAACAAAAATACGTGCTTTGAGCCCAAGTAACTGTAACTGAACTTCTTGGCAGCTTTAAAGACAAATAGATTCACAGGAAGTGCTTCATACCGAAAGAGCATTGTATATTGAACTTATTTGTTTTCTTTTACATGTATTTGCATTTGTTTCTATTTTTAAAAATAGAAAGTTGGCACTTTTGGTTTGGGGTGTGGTGTTCTTTTTTTTTTCCCCCCTCTACAAATGGATGTAGATTGGAGAATTAAGTGTGAGGTTAGGCTCTTTAATGGGATCCCTAGAAAAGTCAACACCCAAATTTAAAGCTCCTCAGAGCTGTTCTGTTAACAAGACAGTGAACTTGAAAGGCCTGGAATGAGAAAAAAATTAGTTTGATTTTTCAAGTTTTTCACTGAAGCTATTGAATTGATTTTACTTCACTGAAGACCAAGGAACTCCTCAATGCTCATGACTGCTGAGAAGCAGCCTGGACCTGTGCCAGGACTGGCCACACTCCTCTGACTATTGGGGCAACTCAGGAGGGTGTGGACCACGAGGGCTCATTTCAGCACTTCTCTGTGGGGACTCAGGGCACCAATAAACCTGAGCTTCAAAAGGCTGAGTGAGTATCCTCAAGAATCCAAATGAAGGAAGAGGGGAGATCCACACATACCAGCAACTTCTGTGAGAAGGAAAGAAGTTTTGAGGACGGTAAGTTTTAAAAAAAAAAAAAAGTTAGATAAGTTTAAATATTTGACTACCCAAAGCAGTTGGATACTTTCCATCAGATTCAGGAAATCAAGTAATGCATTTTAATGAAGGAAAAAAAAAAGCCTTCAGCAGATAATACTGCTCGTGTATTAATACTATACTTTATGCTTTAGCTTCAGGCCTATAAATATTTTGCTTGACTGCTGATACTGTTGGTTTCCACTTTTCTCATCATCTATTTTTTCCAACTATTTGTTTTAATAAAAATTGAATAAAGATTGTAATTTAGCAAGTGATTTATCTTTGATAATTTAGATATCTAAAAGTTAAGTATAAAATTAGGCTTGCAAAGCTGTTCAGGCTTTTCTTGTAGCTGGCAGAGATAAATAGACATCTTCAAGTAGTGACTCAACACCTTTGTAACGTATGTATTAGACAGCTGGAATCTATTAAGTTTATTTTTATTTTTTTGTCTCTCTTCACTGCAGAGGGAGTATGGATATCTATTGTAGACCTGTTGTCCATTTTTCAGACAGTGAAAATGAGGAAAAGTGAATCTTAATTCTGCTGCATGGATTGAGTAATCCACCATACGGTACAGTCCTCAGCTAGTTAATGTCTCCAGTAGTTATTGTAACCTAACTAAAAGCAATATATTTAGCAATATTTTAACTGGAGCGGAGTGACAAATGTCTGTATTTTGTCTGTTTCTGTGTAGTATTTCACATCAGACCACCTATTAATGCTGAGAGAATTAATAAAATAATAACTCTGATCCTAATATGTTAGATTATACTTATTTCCCTTTCCTTCAAGAAAGAAATGTGATCCTTAATTGTATAATTTCTTATATATTTAGCCAATACCTACCATTTTTAACAGAAATGTCATTTATGGTGCATTTTAGTATTAAATATTGAAATGGGAAGACATTACTTTATATAGCCAAATATTTTTGTCATTTTAAGAGGCTCTAGTGCATGTTCTTAGGATAAAAATGTGTATTGTGACAAAGCAACTGCAGAACAGAGCTGTGGAAAAATACACTAGATTGCAAAAATACTTATTCACTGGGTACATGAGCCGAAAAACTGGTTTTGGATCTGTGCCTTCACAAAGAGAAGACAAATGTCTGTCATGACAACACTGTCTTCATTTATTGTCTTTTTCTCCAAGAGTCATTAAATGTTTCAAATAACTGGCCTAATTCACTTTAAGACGGTTAAGAATTCTGATTCTCTAACCAGTGTCAAATTGGTGAAAAGAAATAAGGACAAACCCTAGACCACATGGAAATACAGTGGCTGAACAGTGGTGTTCCCTCTGACGTCCATAGGTGTAAGCTTGGGAGGAGTCAATAGTAGTCTTGCTGGTCCAAAGTGGTGCTTGCTGGTTGCCTTTAGGGCAAATTCCTAGAGTAACTTCTTCTGCAAGAAGAAAAAAAAAGGAGAAAAAAAAAAAAAGAACATGTTTTATCATGCCATATGATATAGCTAAAAACAGGTAAGGTTGACAATGCATGATGGATGAAATAAAAACTTATGTTTTTTCTGTCTAATGAGAGAGATTACATAGTATGATGTGCTGCATATCTATCAAATAGGAATTTCTTGGCTTCTTTCTTTGTTGCTAGTCTCTGACCTTAAGAATATAAATCCAGTGTCATTAGTCTTTGAACTTAATAAATAATTTATGTTTACATAAGACCTAACATAATGTGCAGCAAAACTCTTTCATTGTAGCTATTACCAAGGAATAAGTAGAGAACACCTGATTGCCCTTCTAGATACTCATTTAGCATTTCTGCAGTTACTGGTATTCACAGAAACATTGCAAGCTTCATCAAGTTCTTCCAAAGCATTAGCATGCTGTAGGCCAAAGTTGGGTTTGTTAAAAGATATACCGGAAAATGTAATAATATACTGAGAACAGCAATAGGCTGCTATACTTCAAGGACCAGTTTAGAATTTTCTCTCTAATACCAGAACACCCACAATTGTAGCTAGATTATTGGTGGGGGACAAGTTGAGCATGAGCTAGCAGTGTGCCCTTGCAGCCAGCAGCACCATTAGTATCCTGGGGTGCATCAGGAAGAATGTGGCCAGCAGGTCAAGGGAGGTGATCCTGCCCCTCTACTTGGCCCTCCTGAGGTCACATCTGGAGTACTGTCACCAGTTCTGAGCTCCTCAGTATAAGAAAGAGAAGGAGCTACTGGAGAGGGTCCAGCGTAGGCCAAAAAGATGATGAAAGGTCTGGAGCATCTCTCTTATGAGGAGAGACTATGTGATATGGGCCTGTTTAGTCTACAGAAGGGAAGATGGAGATGAAAACTCATTAATGCATTATAAATATCTCAAAGGCAGATGCCAAGAGGATGGTGCCAGACTCTTTTCAGTAGTTCCCAGTGATAGGACAAGGAGCAATGGCCATAAATTTAAACACAAGAAGTTTCACCTCAATATGAGGAAAAATGTTACATTGAAGATGGCAAAGCACTGGAACACGCTGTCCAGGGAGGTTGTTAAGTCTCTGTTTCTGGAGACAATAAAACCTCGCCCTGCCTTGGTAGGGCTGTTGGACTTGATGATCTCCAGAGGTCCCTTCCAACCCTAACTATTCTGTGATTCCATGATTTTGTACTTCAGTGATTTCTGTGAAACTACTTGATAAAACCCTCTGGATTCTGTTATTTAGTTACATTGCTCTCTGTTGCTAAAGGCATTTGTAAGTTTTAGCAGTACTGAACAAGTTAAAGAAAAGCCATAGCTGTGGCAATGAATTTCCAGTTTATCTATATGCATGAGTATTGTGTTTTGGTTTAAGAAAAATCCTGGGGCATAGACTCCAACAAATGAACCCCTTCCTCTTTTATTAAAACCTCTCACCCTTTCGCCAGTACAGAGAGACAAAACGCGAGGAGATGTGAGTGAAAAAATAATTGTCTACTGAAAAGAAATATAACTAACAATACAAACAAAATGGTTTAAGCTGATAAGAGACAGAAATTTTTCCTATTCCTAGTCTCTTCCCCCTTGGTTCACAGACAAGATGGTGGCCGACACATCTCCCCCATGTCTTCCCCCCAGGACAATAGAAAACGTATTGCGGCAGACACGTTCCCACAGTTTAATGCCCAGCTAGACAAAAAACACAGGGAAATGGGAGTAAAGGAAAGCCTAGGTGTAAGTATAGAAGAATATTTCTGCAATATTTATTTTGAGGAGCCAAGATTGTGTCGCTCAAGGAAGCTTTGCTGACTGGGGCATCTTTCCCAGGATTAGGTTTATGTGTTTTGTTCTCCTGCATTCCAGAGAGGCTAACTTCTTGGTACAAAAGAAAATAAGTTTCTGGCAGATATGCTTGGACTCGGCTCCACTCATTTGGGACTCTGCAGTGGGATTTCCTGGAGCGGGATTTTTGAGGTGGTGGTGCCCGGCTGGGCTCAGCTCCATTCCAGCTCAGTGGCAGCGACTCCCATCCCAGCAGCTGAGATGTGTAGAGCTGTGTGGCTGGCATGGTTCAAGTTGTTGCTCGCATTTATTTCTCCCAGGGTAGAGAGGTGGCTCACAGATGAAGAGAGTTCCATTTCCACTCTGGCAGTCAGGACACACTTCTTTCCAGCTCCTCCTTGTCCTCCTTGCCTGACTGTGGTGAGGGGTTCACTCCTAGAGGAACAGTTTCTCAAAAAAAAGTTGGAAAAAGTGAACAAAATACAAAACCTACTTTAACTGCAATGCTAAAACTAAAAGATGATAGAAACACAGATTCACAGAATGCTTTGGGTTAGAAGAGATGATTAAAGATCATCTAGTTTCAAACTCCCTGCAGGAACACCTTCCACCACAGCAGGTTGCTCAAAACCCCATCAGGCCTGCCTTTGAAAACTTCTAATCACAGGGCATCCACAACTCCTTGGGACAACCTATTCCAGTGTCTCAACACTCTCACAGTAAAAAAAAAAATCATCCTTATATCCAAACTACATCTACCCTCTTTCAATTTAAAACTGTTTTCCTTTGTTCTATCACTACAGGCCTTGGTAAAAGTATCTCTCCATCTTTCTAATAAGTCACCTTCACATACTGAAAGAATGTACATTCAAGAAAGACTGCAACAGGGTCTCCCTAGTGCCTTCCCTTCTCCAGGCTGAACAACCCCAACTCTCTCAGCTTGCCTTCATAGGAAAGGTGCTCCAGTCACTTGATTATTTTTGTGGCCCTCCTCTGGAGCTACTCTAATAGACTCATGTTTGTCTTGTACTGGGTACCCAAGAGCTGGATGCAGTACTCCAGGAGGAGTCTCAACAGAGTGCAGTAGATGGGCAGAATCACCACCCTCCACGTGCTGTCTCGCTGCTTTTGATGCAGCGCAGAATGCAGTTGGCTTTCTGGATTGCAAGCACAAATTGCCAGCTCTTGTCCAATTTCTCAATCAACCAGTACCTAGCACCCAAGTACTTTTCTACAGGGCTGCTCTCAGCCAGTTCAATACCCAGTCTGTGCTGATTTTGAGAATTGCTGCAATCCATGTGCAGGACCTTGCACTTGGCCTTGTGGAACTTCATGTGGTTTGCATGGGTCCACCTCTCAAGCCTGTCAAAGTCTCTTCGCTCACGCATATCAACTGCACCACTCAGCTTGATGTAATCTGAAAACTGGCTGAGGATGCATCCAATTGCACCATCTATGTCATTATTAAAGACCTATAGTCTTTATTAATAAAGATTTGTAGTCTCTTGGTGAATGCAATTTTTTGTGGAAAATGCATTTTTTGTGAAAAATCATGTCAGCTTCCATATTGTCTGTAGCCATAATCTCATGATACCCATGACATTTGTGAACCTATTTTGGGCACAGAAAACTTGGGGATCTGGCTAGGACAGCAGCCTTCCTGGGACACAGCTCGTTCCTTGTCTTACATCTGAGTTAAGAAGTCACTGCTCAGTGGGAGAGAACAGAAGGAAGGGTGTGATCTATCAGTGATCTGCAGAGCACATCTATCAGGTTTGACTACAACTATATTAGTGAGTCTAAGAAGGCAGAAGAGAGCAGAAATAGAAACAACAGTCTACAACCGCTTCCAATGCCTACTTGTCCAGCACAGACTTGTGTTCAAGTCCTTTCCTTCAAAGTTCCCTGCCATTCAATTTTGCCTATGCTGCTGACAAAATTTGACATCTCCAGCTTTAGGTAGAAGGTGCAAGACTAGGGGAGGTAGCACTTTAAGGGAGTTGTTACCAAGAGCAGGGAACATGGTTGCCACCTACTGTTCATGGTAACTGAAGCACCCTAAAATGGTCACTGGAGCCCTGTTACTGGGCTACAGAGTAGGTGATAATCCCCTCTCCAAAAGGGTAAGAAAAAACATGTCAACACACTGTCTGAGCTAGATGTATAGGTATTTGGAGAGCACCTGTGCAAAGTAGCAACTTGAATCACAGTGTCTTTACATTGGAGCACATAAATAAGTCAGGATTTTTCTGCAATGCCTATTTTGGCAGCAATTGAGAAGCTAAAAGCCTACTGTTAAAGGAGACGGGAGAAATTTGAAAAGGCAGGAAGCAGCCAAAGGAAGTCTGAGAAAACTCTAAAAAAAAAAACTACTGGGGTATTTTTTTCTCCACACACCTATATGCCAAATTATTTAGACATTTTAGTTACTGTTCAAGCAGTGTAGAACAATTCACCTAGTTGTAATCCTAGTTTCACTTTCTCTAGATAGAAAGAAGCAGCAAAGCTTGGCAGGTGAATAAATTTCTTCGTTCCTATCAATTGAGAATATGCTTCTTTTTTGTGAAAGTATTTTCAAAACATGGTCAGTCTTGACTTGTATCACCTGCTGTGAATAGAGGTGCTTCAGTCTGGAAAGGAGAAAGCAAACCTAATACTCTGTAATGTTAACTGTTGGAGGATAAATTCTGTAATAACAGACTTTGATGTCTTATTTCCTCACTCAATTGACTTGCATTTCCCAGCCTCATCAAATGTGAAGGCTCTGCCTTCCTGGCCACAAGTACTACCTGTAGCAGATGAGAATAATCACTGGACCTCATTCTCCTCATCTCTCCCCAGGAACAGTTTATCAAGGAGTTCAGTTTCTCCAGAAAACCAGTGAAAGGTGACTCTGTCCCTTCCTTGTAATCCTCCTCTCCCTCTTCCTCCTTTTCTAGGAGACATAACCAGTCTATGAGAAAACCATGCCTTTGTGATTTAACCTAGTTATTCCTTTTAGTAGAATTGTTTAAACAACAAAAATTGGGCCTATCAGTGCAGTTAATGGCCATACACACCAGTCCTTTGAACTGGAGGGACACCCCAGCCACACAATCGATGACAGTCCATGGCAAACTGGTGCAAGATGAAATTTTTTTTTATGAGATTAGAGTTTTATGACTAAAGGAATTGTTCATAATGTGTCACATGCCATCAATTCAAGATGAAATTCTACTGGTTTTAACCAAGGTTGATGGGACATCGATAGCTAACTTGGAAAAGGGACATATATAAGTTAAATATACGTTTGATAACTAGCAGAAATTACAAAGTTCTCACACATAGGCAGATGTGAATACTTTGGTGTGAGGGAGTTGGAGCATTATATGAGCAGCCAGGTATAAGTGAACTGTAGACCAACTATGCTAAATGAAGGGATGAAGACCAAAAGAGTTTTCAGCTCCACTTTTCATACTGGCATCTGACCTACTCTTTGGATCTAATGACCCAGTGAAATTCTAGGTCCTACTCTAATGGCACTGTTGTGGTGTTTTGTGTGCATTTCCACTGTGATTCAGCTGTTTGATTGACTTCTGCTGCAAATATCAAAAATGTTTTTAAAAAAGTTTCGTTATTAAAAAAAAAAAAAAGAAGCCTACATCTCTGAAAACTGTTACAGATTTTTGTGACCTGAAATGAAAATAGCTTCCTTTTTGTATTTGAAATGAAAATTCAGGTTTACATTTATAAAGAAAAGAACACAGTTGTTTCAGTCATGAGTTGCAAATGACAAGTAATATAGTTACAAACTTCTAGAAAAATTTAAAACCTGGAAATATGAAAAACTTAGTTTTGCATCAAGGAACCTCATTAGTTTGTTTCCTTAGTACTTTGAATTCAAGGTATATATTAGCACCTTCTAAAATAAGTATGTGGTACCAGCAACTCTCAAACTGTGATCTCTGAGGTACCAGTATTCTACAAAGCTGAGGCAATTAATCAGTTGTACCATTTGTTTGTCTATTTCATCTCAGTCACTTAAGGTGCGCTTAAAATGTAGCAAGTATAGTCTTCTTACTCCAGAGACAGTCTAGAATAAAGTAAGATTAATTTCCTCGTTCTAGTGTAGGATATGCTAACGACCTTGGCTTCCGCTGATGAGCTGAAGACATGAAACCCCAGTAAGTATTCAGAACTCAGCAAGATGTGGAACTTTATTTCTTGCAAATCATACATGATTTAGAACGATTGTTCCCAATTTGCAGTCAGTGGTCTGCAAAGGACACACCAGACGTGGTGTGACTTCCTTTCCTTCTAACCATTAAATCACATTAAATGACACTAAGGGATAGAGAGAATACTTTCCCAGTATTATTTTTCCATACAAACACATGCTGTCATTGCCATAAGGTTGATGTTTAACTGGAGACAAGTGTGATCTGCAAGACACATTCACTTTTAAGTGCTATCCATCAAGCAGAAGTTTTGTCAAACTCTGATGCCCATTATGCAGTGTAGCATGGTACAGAAGCTATAAGGGTATTCTTATATCATTGAGATCAGCTGAGCACTGTATGTGTATCATAGCTCCCACTGATTCCATGTAGACTTTGACATCCACAAAGAATGCAAAGTGGATAGCTAGCCTGCAGGATGGTCTCTTCAAATAACATCAATATAGAGTTGCATGATCTAACTGCATTTTAGTTTTTGGCTATCTCAATAGAGACCCTGATTTCTTTGTGCATTTCCCTAACTTTTCTAGAGTAAAAAATGTTTGCATTTGAAAGGAAACACACAGGTCTTGTCTGTATAAGAACAATAGGTGACTAGAGCATTTTGTAAAGCGGAATTAAAAAGGACAACACTTTCTCTGGAACCATTTAATGGATCTAACTTAATTATGAGAAAAGAAGTGTGGCTGTATGAGAGAACAACTCATCCACTTTATTAAGTGTATTATTAAACTAAAGATTACTATTACTCATTTATTAGCTCTGCATAGTGTATACAACACAGTGAATGTGACTGTGTTGTGCACAGAGGGGTGCTCTGTCAGCAGTTTTGTATAAATCCTGTGTTACAGCTACCATTTGGTTGAGCACAACAGTTTTTATTATAATTAACCATGTTTGAGAATATCTTTTGAAATTGAATTTATGTTACAGTCACCTTGAGATTTAGAGTGTTACTAGAACACAAACCGCTTAGGTTTAGGAACATGGTACCATACTTAGTCTTCCTATCAGTCTGCTTAAGCAGAACATGAGTGGAAACTTGATTGAAACTGGCAGGTCAAAGAAAGCTTTCATGGGCATCTATGAGTAATCAGTACTAGAAGAGCTGACTGAGTTAGTTTACCTTTTCTTTAAGATAATCATTCTGGCAAGTAAGTTGTATATTCTGGTTTAAAACTATACAAAGAGAGGGAACAAAACATGGCATAACAGAGTCAAGAATATCTGGAAAATAAAGAAAGCAGTTCTGGAGAAAGATATTTACTGGTAACATTTTTGTACTGTGTTTCTCCAAACTTTCATTTTCATGGAAAACATCCTTATTTAAGTAATGGCACTAGGGTGGTACATATTCAAGATGAACTTGTGCAGAGACAAATATTAACGCAAAACCTAATCCTATAATACCTAGCAGGCAATTTACTGAGAGCAAGAGTGGTGCAGTGATACATTCTTCAGAAAGTTAGAAATAACTATTTGTATATTAGTGGTAGGATTATTAAACCACCAATTTCTGGGAAAGTTTTGGAAACATTTCAAGTAGTCAGTTTTGTTGGCTAGGTACTGTGATTTATTGCTTACTCAGCACAAAAATTAATTAGACTGGGGGTCATGTAAATGCCAGAGGCCTTCTTTTATGTGCCAAATTTATTGACATCCCTATTTCTATGCCAATTTATTATTGATTGTCCATGATACACCACATTCTAAACTCTTCAGGAGCTAGAACTGCCCAACAAATGTAGTACACATATCTTTCCTTTCAGCTGGGG